CGCTATGAGTCGCAGGTGACTCGACGGCACATAACAACAACAACAACTCTACATTTTAAAGTAAATCTCAGAGTCTCTTTGGCATCCATTTTAATCTTCCCCTTCCATACCTCCTTTTAAACTACCTTTTGCTTTCTTCCTGTATGGTGTCCTGGGTAATCTAGTCTTCAGTTATTAGTTTTCCATGTGTAAAATACATTTGTAAGATGGTCTATAAATTCAGATAGAATGTACTTAAATTCATACTCTGGTTCTGGTGGATTAGTTTTAAATTTTTTAAACTTTAACACAAAATTGCCTGTGAACAATTGATGTTCTGTTTCTGACTTTGGATCCTGGATTTACTCTGACTAATAATAGTGAGTTTCTTTATCATCTTCTACAAATGCAGTTGATTTGATTCCTTTGTACTCCATCTGGCTAAGTCCATATGTACAGTTATCATTTATTTTGTTGAAAATATTTCCAATGAATATATTGCTCATCTTGCAAAATTATGTCATGTGATCTCCAATATTTCTATCCCAAGGCCATATTTTTTAACTACCAATCCTTCTTCATTTCCAACTTTAGTGATTCAATCACTAGAAATTATCACTACATCTTTATTGCAGAATTTGATAATTTTTTTATTTAATCTTTGAAATTAGTGATTAATGTCTAAATTTGAGTAGTCATATTAACCTTTAAAAAGTCTTCTAGGCATATGGATATTATCTTATCATTTGAAAGCATTTACTTCAGGCCAGATCTTGAAATGTTATTTTTTTGTGCTGAATGAGGTATCCTTTGTCATTCTTGACATAGTAGACCATATGATTTCCTGATTAAAAATAGTACCAACAGCGACAGATCATTAATGCCTTTTAAAATTGATGTTTAGGCATTTCATTTCTGACAGCTTTTAATTTTCCTAGATTTGTACTTCTTACCGTCCACGTACAGTTTTGTTTTTGTTTGTTTTTTCCACGTCAGACGGATAATGTGCAGTCATCTTTACAAGGATTATGGAAGGCACATGTCATACAAAAGCGTCAACACTCAATCATCATGCTCATGAACCGGAAAAGGATTTACGTTCTGATTTTTAATGGACATTAACAGCTGTATTTTCTTATTTTGAGTCATTCCTACTGCTATATTCTCTCTCCCCCAACGTTAATATTGCTGTGATTCAATTTTGTTTCCAAAGCAGAATTATTACAGAATTTAATATTCAAATGTCTATGATGCCTTCTAGGCACCTCCTCCTTCCTATTTCAAGCTATATAATCTTCCAAAGACGTCTACTATTTCTTAAAACAAAGCCTGGGGAATGGATGTAAAGACACATTTGTGTTGACAATACTTTTATCTATCAAGATTTCCAATGGGTTTATTCTGTTTCATTCCTCTTTCGAAAACTTTATTTTACACCCTATTATATTTGACTCATACTGAATCACAATCTATGAGCTCACCAGCACCTGGTATGAATCCGTGGGAAGTTCTGCTTAATTTTAAACTTGAGTTTACTAATTAGTTACTATGTGATCGGAGTGTAGCAGAACGTACATTGTTAATTTCCCTGCCCATGTGACAATGTTTTCGTTTTAGAGTAATTTCTACGTACAGGAAATTCTAAATTTGCAATGGCACCAATTACCGTATAGACGCTATTCTCAAAGCGCAAACATTTGAAGTACTGTGACAGAACAATTTGGGGATTTTTAAGTGCCTATTTGTCATTTATCTGCGACTTACATTTTTAAGTAGTGTTGATTTAAAAAACATAGAGTTTTGCTTTTTTCCTTTAATCCCTACTTACATATTTTCCAGATAAATAAGAGAATACGCTACATTCACACTTCTGAGGTTACTCGACTTCAGGAAGCGTTTACTGCTGTACTGCGCGTGCGTAGCTGATCCACTCAACTCGCCTGCTTTTCCTTGTTCTACCAGAAGGGGGCGAAGTAAGGCAGTGAGCTATTTTTCTCTCAAGGGATTTTGAACAGTACGTAAAAGTGCGACAAGCGAAGTGAGCCGAGGGGCGTTCTATCTTCAACGAGGTTGGTCTCTATTGCCCTTTGTCCTCCAGTCTCCCTTGGGCGCCGGGCCTATGGGCTCGGTTGCTAGGCGGAAGCTGGGCGGCGGCTGAGGCCGCGGCGCTGCCCGGGCGTTTGAAAAGCGGCAGCGCAGGCGGCAAAAGGTCCTCGGGCGGCAAGCTCCACTCCACTCGCGTACAGGCCCGGCTGATAGCGCAGTAGATTTTGCCTTGGGTTGGGGCCCGGCTAAGGTTTGAGCTGGCGGCCCGGGGCAGGGCGGCCAGGCGCGCCGCTGGCGGCAGCGGTGCTGGGCCGCGGAGCGGGGTCCGGGCCCCCGAGGTCCCGAGCGGGCGGGCGGTAGGACCGACGCTGAGAACCTTGCCTAGGGCCGCGGGCTTCCCCCAACTCAACCGGAACCCTCTCCCCCCAGCAGACCTCGCCTGCGGGCCCACAAAGACGACCATGGTCTCCAAGTCCGACCAACTGCTCATCGTTGTATCCATCCTCGAAGGTGAGCGGGGCCCACTCTTGCTTTAAGCAACTGCTGCTTCCCGAATTTTAGAGAGAAGAATATGATGCCAAGGCTTTGTTAACCTTAAAAAATCTGTCATCTTTGCCTTTGTGGTCTCTAAAGACTTGTTCGGAGTTGTACGTAATGAGGTCTGTTAGGCAATTGATTTAAAAAAATCTCCCAAGGGAGTGTGAGAGCTAATAGGGATAGATGATATTTAAAGGGACTAGTCGTGGCCCCAGAGAATCCAGGAAAAACGATTTCCTTGAAGCAGCATGCCCAGTGACTTTTATATATGAGTTCAAGTGTGGGAAAGTGCGTTCTCATCATCAGCCTGTGTGTGTGTGTGTGTGTGTGTGTGTATATATATATATATATATATATATACACACACACACACACATACATACATATACATACATACATACATACATACATATATATACATACATATATATACACACACACATATATATATACACATATACATACATATAATACTATTTATAAGAACTTTGCCTTTGACTTGAATGCATGTGTCTTGAAATTGTAGGAGTGTTTCTAACCAGGTTCCCTGCAAAAACCTTAAGTAACGCTTAGAGGAATGCAGTTAGGTGATGATTATACATAGTTTGAATTATACATAGTTTTAATTGTATGTTTTGTGCAAGTGGCATTTGTGTACTAAGGACTAAATGCAGCAAATATAAGAAGACAGGTTCTAGTTCTAAAAGGCTAAGATTTAACACGGAGATTGTGCCAACAGAGAATTGATGTGGAAAGAGGGCCACATTTCTCTGGGAAAGATGGAAGACAGTTTTTACCAAAGGAAATAACTCTTTTAGAATTTGTTAAGGAGACAAAAGGATGTTCCAGGCAAAGGGGAGGGAAAGCAAAACATTATGTGATGCTTAAGCATTCATTGTGCCTGGAGAGCACAAAAAGGAAAAGGAATGGCTTTACACTTCAGAGGTAAGCTAAAGAAAAGGTACACATAAGTTGGTGAGAAGGAGCATCATCATGGATAGATGCATAGCAGGATCTCTTTTTTAAATGAGTAAATATTTCCGGGAGGTCTGGCATTGTTTTGGGAGCCCTGGTAGCTTGTTAAGTGTCAGTGAGTTGAGTACAACTCACAGCTACACAAACAACAGATCTCAACCTGCCCTATCCTTTTATACCATCATCCTTCACAGACTTGAACCCCATTACTCAGTTACTTTGTCAGTCTTGTTGAGGGCCTTCCTCTCTGTTGACCCTCCACCTTTCCAAGCATGATGCCCCTTTCCAGGGACTGGGCTCACCTAATAACCTGCCTACACAAAGCTTTGAGATGAAGCATCACCATCGTGGTCTCTAAGGAACACTCTGACTGCACTTTCTCCAAGACTTAACTGTTCATTCTTTTTGTACTCCATGGGATACTCAGTACTCTTCTCCAACACCACAGCTCAAAGGCAGCAGTTCTTCTTGTGTCATCGTTACTCATTCAGCTCTCACATGCATAGCAAATGATTAAAAAGACCATGGCCTGAACCAGATGCTCCTTAGTCTTTAAATTGACGTCATTGCTTCTTAGTTCTTTGGAAAGGTCCTTGACAGCAGACTATCTTCAATGCAATAATCTTTTGATTTCTTGACTGCTGGTAACCAGAATGTTTATTGTGGATCCAAGTAAGATCAATTGTTGACAATTTTCAGTCTTTCCTCTGTCTGTCATGATGCTGCCTAGGGGCCAGTGGTGAGGATTTTTGGCTTCTTGATGTTGAGATGTAATCTATATTGAAGGCTATAGTCTTTGATCTTTTGCAGCAAGCATTTTAAGTCTTCATTGTCAGAAAGCAGGGTTGTATCATCTACATACCACAAGTAGTTGATGAATCTTTCTCTGATCCTGGTGCCACATTCTTCTTCATAGTCCAGCTTCTGGAATGATTTGCTCAGCATATTTTCTCCATGTGTATTGCTTCTGTATGATGGTAGCATAGTCCTTATTAAATTGTACTGCTAAGAAAAGGCTATACATCTGTTGATTTGAAATTCTAAGTGCCTCCCTGGGAGAAAGATAGGCAGTCTCTGAGTTTGATTTACAGCTTCAGAGTGTTGCTATGCTTTGGAAACAACTCCATGGCAATGAGTTTGTACTATGTTTTAACGTTTGGATAAATTCTTTGTGTTAGTGTTACGTAGCTTAGGGTTGGCTTTGATCATAGTGACCCAGCGTACAGCAGAATGAAATCTTGCTTGATCCTGTACCTTCCTCACAATCTCTGCTATGTGTAAGCCTGTTGTTGTAGCCACCTGTGTTCATTCATCTTATTGAGAAGTTTCTTATTTTTTTTCTGACCTTCTACTTTTCAAAGTATAATGTCTTTCTCCAGGAACTGGCCCTTTCTGATAATATACCAAAAATACACTGACTGCATCTCTAAGACAGCATTTGTTTGTTCTTTTGACAGTCTATGATCTATTCATTATTTTTAGCCAACACTGTATTTCAAAGGCATCAATTCTTAATTATTATCCAATTTTCATATGTATATGTTCTTCTTGTTAGATGCCATTGAGTTGAGTATGACTCATAGTGATCCTGGGAATAACAGATCTAAAACATGTCCTGTCCTGTGCCATCTTTATAATTTCTGACATACTCGAGCCCCTTTGCAGCAGTCACTGTGTCAATCCATCTGGTTGAGGGTCTTCCTCTCTTTTGCCAACTGTACACCTTTCCAAGCGTGATGTCCCGGTCCAAGAAGTAGCTTCTCCTAAAAAAACTCTCAAAGTATGTGAGATGAAACTTTGCCATCTTTGCCTTCCAGGAGCACTTTAACTGAACTTGCTCCAAGATACTTGCTCCAAGGTATGCAGCTTTGTTCTTTTGGCAGCCCATGAGATAATTCAATACTCTTCTCTAACATCACAGCTCAAAGACATCAGTTCTTTTGTCATCCTTATTATTCATAGTCCGTATCTCAGATGCATAGAAAGTGATTGAAAAGGCCATAACCTTAATCAGGTGCACCTTAGTTTTTAAACTGATCTCATTGCTGTTTAGTACTTTGGAAAGGTCCATGACAGCAGACTTTCTCAATGCAGTATTTTTGATTTCTTGACTGGTACCAAGGGTGTTTATTGTGATCCATGTAAGATAAATTGTTGACAGTTTCAGTCTTTTGTCCATCTATCATGATGCTGCTTATTGGCCTGTTCGTGAGAATTTTTGTTTTCTTGATGTTGAGATGTAATCTGTATTGATGGTTATAGCTTTAATCTTTCTGCAGCAAGCATTTCAAGTCCTCCTCACTTTCAGCAAGCAAGCTTGTGTCATCTGCAAAATGCAGGTTGTTAGTGACTCTTCCTCCAATCCTGATTGCCACATTCTTCTTAATAGAGTCCAGCTTGTCAGACGATTTGCTCAGCGTACAGATTGAATTAGGTGTAGGTATACAATCCTGTCACACACTTTTTTTTATTTTAAACTCTGTAGTGTTGTGTTGCTATGTTTGGGCAACAGTTTTTTGGTTTGTGTATAGGTTTCCCTGAGCATGATAAAATGTTCTGGGATTTCCATTCTCACTGTTGTTGTTAAGTGCTGTAATGTCGTAGATGACCCATAAACAGTGACCCTATAAACAGAAGTCTTGAATGCAAAACTTTCTTTTCTCCAAGTTCATAGAGCCTCCAGAGCAAGCTCCCCCGAAGTAGATGCTACTCCTGCTTCTAAGCTTGTTTTATTTGGGAGATCCACAAAAAAGCAGGCCCAAGGGCTCAAAAGCCTTTTTAAATATGAGGCCAAATCCAGTCAGGTCACATATACCCAATTGTGAACAACAGCTATACCCTAGTCTCAACCCCAAACCGTAAAACACACCTTAGCAGAATCTGGCCATTCCGCTCATCTTCCCAGTCTGGAAATAGCCCCAGACTGGCTGCCAAAAGGCTTTCTAAATAACAGGCCAAATCCAATCTTCGTACTGTTAGCTATGATTTATCATGATCTGCATGCTCAAATGCCTTTGTATAGTAAAGAAAAAAACCCCCCAGAATAGACATTCTTCTTATATTCTTTTGCTTTTTCACACAATATCCATCTGACATAAGCAGTAATATCCCTAGCATTATGGCCTCTTCTCAATCCGGCTTGAATTTAAGCAGTTCTCTGTCAGTGTACTGTTCTAGCCATTTTTGGATCTTAAACAATATTTTACTTGCTTGTAATATTAATGTTCGATAATTTCCATATTCTGCATATGAGGCAATTGAAAATACCATGGCTTGAATTAAGCATACTTTAGTCCTTTAACACTTTAATGAGGTCCTTGAAGATTTGTCTTTGTAGTCCGTTGTTTGATTTCTTGACTGTTGCCTCCAGGGGTGTTTATCGTGGCTCTAAATAAAATTAAATCCTTGGCTGCTTCAATCTTTTCTCCATTTGTCGTGTTATTTCTTGGCTAGTTGGGAAAATTTTTGTCTTCTAGATGTTGAGGTGTAATACCTACTGAGATTAGTCTTTGAGATTCATAAGATCCCTGGGTGGTGCAAATGGTTTCCACAAAATTATTAACCTAAAGGTTGGTAATTTGAACTGTCCATTAGTGTGGCCAGCAAAAGGGTGGCACTCTGACTTCTACTGTAAAGGGGAAAAATACTCATCAACAATATCAACAGAATAAAGCTGGTTACGCTGAGATCGGATACTCCCATGCTCCTGCACCTGCTGCTCTCAATTCTAAGTGCAGCCATACTTTCCAGGGTTTTCATTACTCCAATAATAGGTTTAATCTGCGTACCTCTTTCAGTGGCTGCCCTAAACTCAGAGATGGTACTCACAATTACAGAGTTTATTAGGAAAAGAACAGGATAAGATTCAAGTTGAAAGTGTGCAGGATACAATTTATCAGTTAGGATAACTTCTCAGGCTTGGACTTCTTGCAGGCAGGACACACCGCTGCCCCGCCCCTTTCAGTCTCACAGCTCTCAGTGTTGCAAAATTCTTTTAG